TGTGTGTGTGTGTGTGTGTGTGTGTGTGTGTGTGTGTGTGTGTGTGTGTTCTACAGTTTAATTTTGTGTGGCTTATCATCACAAACCAGTCTTTGGCCTAAGATGAGCTTTACAAGAAGACAGAAGGTGCTAGAGGAAGAAAATAGAAGCAAGACTATAATTAGAATAATTAAACACATTAATGAGATTTTTGTATGTATGATGCTTCATTAAAAACAAGACTAGGGAAGTTTGTTGAAGAAGGTGCATGTCTTCTTGTGTTCTCGAAGATTATGTTTTTTTAGATGATTTTTGTGAAAAAAAAAAACCCAATATTATTGTTGTAAGTGAATCTTCCTTGGCATCCACTTTTTTTTCGTTGGTGCCAATCATAATGAAACGTCATAAAACTGAATGTGAAACAAAGCCAGCAATGTAACCATGTTTTTTTATCCGTAACCATAAATGGTTCTCCTGAGGAGGACAAGCTGAAGAACCCTTTATGGTTCTAGTGGGCTTTATTTCTAAGAGTGTATGTAAGAGTCGGTCAGAGGGAAGACAAGAACCAGCAGACCTCTGCAGCACCTGATGAAGTTCCGATGCAGTAAATCTGATCCAGTAGTTCTTGTATTCATCTGTCAAAACACGATTGAGTTGGGATGAAAGTGGAAGTAGAGCTGCAGGGAAATGAGAACCTGCGTTTCACTGAACCCTTACTGATTATTGTAAGGAGGTTCTAGAATTGCACTGGGACATTTGTTACTTTCTCATTCACAGTGTGGGAAACACAGAGAAATAAGCTCATATCTGATGTGCAATCTTGATACAAGGCATAATAAGTGACCTTTGCGCCGAAGGTAATTCTGCTAAATGTGAAAGCAGAATGTCTTCCATGAAGTTTTGATGCTTATGGGAAACGCTGCAGCATTTCTACATTTTATTGCCAGCCAATAAAATCCCTTCGGCTTTAACCGTTTCCAGAGCTGCTGGATGTTAAACAAGTTCATGTAATTAGGCTCAAAAAATGCACGTTAAATGTTAGTGGAAAAAAGAACACTCTAAAAATCTTCTTGATCTGTGATTTGGTCTTCAGTGTGTTGTTAAACGACAAGCTCCT